TCTCAGTTTGTGATATAAACCTCCTTGAATGCAAGCAACAAGAAGAGTTCACAAATAAAGCCCTACATTCACCATAACATCTACATTCATAAAACTCACACAACGAACCACAAAAATAAACCTAAGACACAATCTTCCACCAAAAGGAGAAAAATGATCACAAAACACTCTCACAAGCTTCTCCTTCTAATAAGCATCCATCTTAGAAACCCAGTTCCACCATAGGGATTGACCCACCAGCTCCAATAATCTGATGCTCAAGCTGCACCATAACATGTATATATATACACACACTTGTTATAATCTACAAATCCAAAACACAATAAAGTTTCTCTAAAGATTTGGTAGGTAATTACCCTGAACAGAGTCTCCAGCTTGTTCTTGACAAGGAAGTACTCTTGCTTTACTTGTTGCAGACATCTGACGCACCTGCAATCACAACATTTTTCCATGATCAGAATGAAGCTCCTAAACCCTAAATTCTCAGGCCAATAGCCACCTCGTAACTTAGAAGCATGAAAGCTCCTTATAAGTGAGAAGTTGCAAGTTTGATCTTACTTATAACCTTATGTCGTTAAAAAAAAAAAGGGAAAGGAATGAAACTCCCAGAATTCAAATTAGTAAAAACCTTAAACTCAAATCCACAAACCCTTTTTGCTTTTCTTTTGGAGAAAAATTGCTGAACAACAGCATAATTTGGCTCCAAGTTTGCTCTTATGGGCACTAAATTGATAATGACAGTTTTGAGGGACAAAGTACTTACGAGTTTACGTTCTGTTCTTCACAGTATCCGCGGAAAGCAATGCAGGCATTTTTAACCCTTTGTGCGCCTATGCTGTGGACCAGAACACAAATTTACCTCTCAGCAGCTAAAATACAAAGGCATAATATGAAAGGGAATCAACTTTATCTGAAAAGGAATCAACTTTGTTACTATGTTGCTCATCTCTCTCTAGTTGACTTGACAAGATGATTGAAAAGGATATTACTACCACGCAAGGAGAACACAATTTAGAAGGCTGTGCTAATTTAAACATTGGTCTTGAATTTGAGACCTGAATATGCATACAGGTGCCCAAAAACCATTTGAAACAACTTTATTTATTTATTTATTTTTAAATCTTGACCATATTGCCAGAACAATCAACCATGTTCTCTGATGGATCTGGTACCTTGAACTGCTACCCTTGAACTGATGAACATCAGCATCAACTTTTTTGAAGTCAATAATTTTCTGATCCCTGCAGGAAAAACAAATCCCAAATAATGGGCGATAAATGCATGATTCCAAGGTCATTCCAACCACAGAGAGAGAGGTCAAAAGACCCGGGGGGGGGGGGATGGGATGGCATATACTCACAGAGCAATGGTGAGATCTTTGAGAATCCTTTCAGAATCTTGAAAGAAGAGAGACACCACTTCAGCCACAAAAGATGGGTTACTCTCATCTTGTAGTTGCTGAAGCTGTAAGAACTGACTGTCCAAATATCCCTTTTCTCACCAAAATAAAAACCCCAATAAATAGATCTATCTAAGTAGTATTGATAGTAGTAGTGTACAGACAAGAAACAATTCAAACCCAGAATTGGTAAAATCATAGGAGTCGCCTTAAGTTGATGTTTGGCCTACCTCTATGAACAAAGATTTGGTGTATTCCACCAACTGTCTCTGCATCTGACCCACATCCATGATCTGTGTCCCCTTTGGTTCTAGTGTGAGAGAGAAGAGGAGAGAGAGAGCCACTTGTGTTGTATAAAGAGCGAATGTTGGAGTTCAAGTTCAGATCTTTAGAAGGAATTATTGGTGAATGAATGAATGAATCAGAGAGATATGGGCAACTGGGGGTGGAACGAAATCAAAACTCAAAAGGTTTTGTGGGGATGGCAGCTGGCAGGGGCAGGGCAGGGTCTCCTTCTCTGGATTTGTGCAATGCTCCGGCTTTGGGATTTGCCGATTTCGTTGGGGTTCAATAACCGAAGACCCCATTATTGGACCCTCGTGCTTCGAATTTAAGATTGAAATTGAAATGGAAAAGAAAAAATGACATAATTCAGACATAAACGAATTTTGTGGTCAACCATAAGGAAAGAGAAAATATTAATTTTAAAACCATTTTAAGAAGGCAACTAACTTTTTTTCCTGATTTTATTGAGGTCATTAAAGTAATTCTAATTACAAATTGGACTAACCTTCTAAGTTCTGACAATGATTTATTTCCCTAAATTTAAATTTGTGGGTATTTAGTAGTTCTTGAAGATTTAAAAAAAATGATGAATTTAAAACAAAAGGATTAGACAATACAGCTACATTACAAATTAGGGCTAAAGAAACTTGTGTTCCCTCCACATGACCTTGTTTATGAATCTATTCAACTCATTAACTTGGGAATTAATCTTAAACTGATCATCATTATCTTCCTGATTAAGTTGTTGATATTTGAAGTTCTTTAAAATTCAAGTTTAAGAGAAATATGGGCAAACACACTAATTCACTACCTGTGAATGTATTTAAATTAATCTATCAGATAACATATAATAATTAATACGGCATACTTGCTAGACAAGATAATCTTAATTAACAAATGAATGAATGTGAGCCAAATTCATTGGATCTGTTTTCATTTGGAGGAAGCAATGCACGTAGTTCTCTCTTTTTAAACAAGGTTGTTGTGCTGTAACACTGCAGCCAAGGTTTGGTGTGATTCTTCTGGCTTTTATATAATGTTATCTGTAGCATATATGACGAGCGCCTATTCCAAATTTCCAATTGGAAAACAAAAGGGGCATAAGAAAGTACCCAGGGCAAAAAAGAGAGAATAAAAAGCAGACCAAGGATAAAATGGTAATTTCATTTTTTATGAGCAGACTGAAAATGGGCCACCAAGAATCATTTACCCATGGCAGAATTTAAAAAAAAAAAAGGTTCTATTTAAAGAATTTTAAGAAATATGTTTCTAAATTTTAATAAAAAATAAAAACCAAAAAAAATTAATTTGATAAATATTCATGGGATCGAATTCGAGATACATGTTGTTAGATAAACATTCATAATAAAAAATTATTGTTCTTAAGTAATTAAATGTAAAAATATATGTACAGTGAAAAGCAGAGGCCAAAGGACCACAGACAAAAACGAAAATGTGGCTTTCTTTTTCTTCCCTCTGGGGTTCGTCCTCATCCTCCCGCGTGCTTCTCTGCATATACCACAATATTCATTCATATTCTTTGCATTTTATTTTCAGTTTTATTTATTATCAACTTTTTTTAATTAGGTATAAGTATTATTTTATTAAAGGTAAGTTTATTCGAGATACTGTTAAGTACTAAATATGAGTACTTCTCCTAGTAAAAATTCACTACTTTTGAATGGACCAATCTAATTAATTAATTAATTAATTAATTAAATTTGATTAATAATATTGAATTAATCTACGAATTATGTTGGAGGCGGTAACGACAATTTTGGTAAAGCGATTGAGACTAGCTGAATAATTTGGACAAGACCTGATTAATATATTATGAATGAACTGTAAGTAAGCCGGAATCATGTGTCCAGCTATAAAAGCATGCCTTCGTCATCCATCGTAACATATGATTTTTTGTTATTTTATCAATAAATATGTGTGGGGCTGTTCTTTAATATAAATAAATTAGTACTACCTCCTCTGATCCTATTTATTAGACTTTATTTATAGATTTTTTTTAGCAAAAACTTGATTTATAGATTATAAATTTGGGAGTGTTTGGATAAAAACAAAACCATGGTTTCAGAAGTGCTTTTACGGATTACGAAGTAAATATGTGGAAGAGGTTACCTCGTTTTGCGGAAAAGTGCTTCTGAAACCACGGTTTCAGAGCATCCAAACAGGCCCAAAATTTTATAAATAGGGGTATAAGCCTTCACAGGGTATGGGGTCTGGCGCAGGACCAGCAACAAAAATTACATCTGAATGTTGGAATTCGACATTTGGTTTGGACTACGAACGTTCCAAGACTATTAAGTTCGCCCGACTTCCTAGACCATACAAAACTCGGCCCAATTTTGATATTAGATTTGTGCTATGGGGTACATACTCGTTAAAACTTGGCTTAGGTTTATCTAGAACGAAGTTGTACACTATAATTAGTGAATAGCATGGCTTTACATATCATTTTTATAGATGTATGATTATGGAGGGAAATCAAAGAATGAGACCACAGAAGTGCTAGAGATACATATTCCATTACATGAAGATTTTTTCCTGTGAGAAAATATGCTCGTATTCAGTACTTGATACGTCCATTAAAAAATAAAAAGATGAAGATTTTTCGTTTCAATTCAAAAAATTATCCCACCATGAAATAGGAGTGTTTAATTTGTCCCGTCTCGGTCGTCCCGTCCCAGTCCAGATGAGTTCAGGACGGGACAGGACGGGACAAAAAAAATTTCAAGACAGGATAAGTACAAGACAGGACGGAAACAGTGACCGGGGGGGACGGGACAAGGGACGGGGTTGTCCCGTCCCTTCCTGCCCCGAGGTATTTTTTTTAAAAAATTGTTTATTAATAATAATTATTATATCATTTAATTTACTTATTAATAATAATTATTACTTTTATAGTGATTTTTTGCTCTTAAGTTATAGTATTATCTTAACAAAATCTCATTCCTCAATAAAATAATTGATAAAGACATTATACAGTGTTTTTTCCCGTATTTTTTTTTACATTATTATTTTTACATCTTTTTTATACTATATAATTGAGCTTTCTACATAATATTTTTTTATGATGTTTTTATCTTTAGAAGCCCAATAAAAAATAAGCATTATAACATAAAAAATTTCATATAAAAAATTATAGTTTTTTTTTTAAAAAAAGGGGGAAGCGGGACGGGACACGGGACAAAATCCCCGTCCCGGTCCTGTCCCGTGAACACCCCTACCATGAAATCCCCTTTATGACTGTTATTCAAACTCAAATATCATACCCGACCAAAAAAAAAAAAAAAACTCAAATATTATCCAGATATAAACTCATTTCAAAACTAATTCTTGATTAGATGAGTATAATGGCAACCTCCGCACGGTTAGCCATTTCAGCTTTACTACCAACAAGTTCAGCTATGGAAGTGTAGCCATTAGCAAGGACAAAACCATTATAAATTAGGCATATAACTGCAATCCGAGAATGATAAATATCAATGAAGAAACAGATGAAAGGCTATGGGCATATAATTACGTGGGAAGCGTCCATCAGCTGCAATTCTAACATGCCTTGCAACTCTTCCTACAGTAGCCAGGAAGATCTGGGGAACCAACCATGTACTCAGCATTATTAGTGCATTCTCCAAGAGCGGCCCATCTCTCACAGTTCACATGCTGATCGGTGCACTCTCCGGCTCCCACTATCTTATCAAATGAGTCCACGTGAATCCACTTTGTTGCTGACCATTTTTCACCTTCAATTACTGGGCATCCTGCGTGGAGACTCTGGGTGTCTGGGATAGCACTAGGGTGGAGGCTGAAGAATAGAAGAGCATCCCCTCTACGTGGTTTCACTGCTCATTGCCATAGCGAGGATGGAAAGAGAAGAACATATTATTAAACGTTAATCTGACAGGCATCGAATGGGACAGTGCAACAAAGAAGATAATTCATGAAAGAAAATAGTCATTCAAATCCACACCTGCTACTCCTTTCTTAGCACAATCTGAGAGATCATCGCTACTTTTACTTTCAGAACCTCTGGGGCGTGGAGGGTCCTGGAAGCAGAATGGAAATTTGTAAGTTACCAAATTATATACAAGTAATAAAAGGTAGACAAAATTTGTCTAGACGGTCCAGACAATTCTGCCACAAACCTGAACCCTCCGCCATCCCCAACCCCCCACCCCTCCAAAAAAAAAAAAAAAAAGGCCCCCTCTCGTTTTGCAGTCTTTGGCAGAGAAGAATTAGAGACAGAGAGAGATTTAAAAACTCATTCTCCAGGAAAGGTTGCGACTGTCCGCCTCCCCATGCCCAAATCAATAAAAGTGTAATTAGCATGCATCATTTATATTGGCTTTGAGGATAAATACCGCCTGTCTGAGACGAGTCCAAGTGAGACACAATTTCCTCAAAAGTATCTGCCGAGCTGCCACAGCTTTTGAAATTTAATGGCTATAATAATTCATTAGCGGCTAAGAAAAATAGTTAAGAAATTGGTACAAATTTTGACTTAGCTCAATGGCAACTTGAGTCCGCAGCAAAGGTGAGGGACGCAGGTTTATTCCCTTCCCCACCCAGCTTACAAGCAATGTATAGCTCCATTTGATACAAAACAAGAAAAAGTACTGAAAAGGACCCCCAGCATCCCAGTCTATTTAGGGAGAATCAAAGACACCCAAAAAAAAAAAAAAGTCCAGAAAAAAGATATATAAAAATAAAAAAATAAAATTGCAAACACCGAGGCAAAAAAGTTAAATAGAAGGTAAATAGATCCATCTAATTTGACTCATTCAAAACCGCGAGCAATTTATAATCTTATTGAACAAGAACATTAAAAACTAATGAATAGTGATAAAACAGACCTCTGCATTAGGGAACACTGTTTCACCGCCTTTGATCACATCAGATAGATACATAAGAACAGTTGCAATTCGATGTCCACCCCGAGCAATATTGACTTTATCAGCAAAGTAATCATAATGTGGTTCATATTTCTGCCCGTGCTCATATCGCAATACTTGTATGTCTTCCCCATTTTCTGAAATTTAACGATCAAATATAATAAGGAAACCTAGTCATTCTTGTTTCAATATTCTTTCTTTTGGAGGAGAAGGGAATTATGGAATCTAGAAATGCAATTCATCACTAGGGTCATGTAAGCACCTCTAAAGGAGCCATCTTAGAATATTCCTGATACGGTTTAACTTTAACAACCACAGCTTTTAAAATTCATAGGTTGAACTTATAATTAAGAGAAATAATGAAAATTACTCATTTTGTAATGTCGATTCAGGACATATAACCATCAGATTTTAGCCAGAGAACATCAATATAATTAATTTGCAAGGCTGGCTGGTAGGTTGGAAGAGAAAGATGAACAAAAGGAGAAGAGATGGACGGTGGTTTTAAAAGGAAAATTGCTTCCAGTCATCAAAGAACTAACTAACAACTTTTTTCAACAGAATAGAGGTAATTACCCCCTTGTGTTGCCCTATTTACAAGCAAGCACAAAATCTGGGCATTGACATCTTAAGAAAACACATTATCATACATATACGGAATAGAAAGACATAAATATCGGTAATCAGCTCCACAGTTCTCACAATGATGCCATGCAGATTTTCGAAATATGAGGGCATACCTTTTGGAAGAAAGGTCCATGATGAAATCTTGTCCTCGATACCAGCAACAATAGGATCCTATAAAGTAAAGATTAAAACATGTCCATTCAATGTCCACAACATACTTATTTATATAAATATATATACACAGACGTAGGTATATATATGGACGCATGAATGTATTGTGAAGAAACAATATCCATTCCCTTAAGAAGCAGAATAATCAAGAAAACCCTGCATGTTATTAACAGCCCGTCTAAACACAAGCAACTAATGATACAAACTCCAACCAGATTTTCTTCCAGGCTCTCCGGCTATACACACCCTTTTCTACAGCATCTCTTCTAAAACAGAACTAAAGCCAAGTCTAAATAACCATTTGTTATAGGCATAATTTGCCCTTCATATGCCAATATGCTAGCAAAACGTAAAAGCAGTTAAAGGGTTTTAAAAGAAAGGGGACCAAAAGAAGGATGAACATACAATTTTTAATAGAGTCATACGGACATTAAATAGATATTCATTGTGCTAACAACCTCGCTCAGCCCAAGTAATAGCAATAAGAGATAATAAGTTTAAACCCACAAAATGAACCCACCCGTATATTTTCAGATTTTCGTCCATCATTATACTTATTATGGATAGGAAAGTGATTGTGGCTTATGCATTGATCTTAAAAGATGTGAACCCAAAAAGAAAATAACGAGGCCACTATCAAGGCATAATTATACATATATAAGCAAACAAATTAGGAAAGACATCAAGGAGTAACAGTGAAACCGACCTTGTTCTTAGAAATAAACATCCCTGAGCTTGTTCGAACTTCACTTAGTCTGCTTTCTCCAGAATCATTATCCGCTACTTCAGATCTCTTCAACTCTGATTTGGCCTAGTACAACGCAATGAACAGGCATCGCTTCATTAATCGAAGAAATCGAATGAAACCACATCAAATTCACATCAGCAAAGCCTGGATTTCTACCGATACTCACTAAAGAGATCAAGTGGTCGCATTCTAACTCTGTGAGGAAACCTTCGTAAACAAAAGCTCTGCATAAATGAGATTCATTCATTTCACTTCCACTCAAAAGTAGAAAATAGTGAAGTTAAACAGGAAATATTGAGAAAGATATAAAGCTACATTGGCATGAAATTCAAGAGGCGAAGGAATGAGACCTTGGCTTCCATGAAACCTGTTTGACTTTAGAAGGGTCGACAATGGAACTAGCGGAACCAGCGTAGGAGCTGGATACTTCACGAGTGATCAGGAAGATTGAAATCAACAGGAGGAACACCGAAGACACAAACCTAGACATTGAGTCCAGCTTCGATCCGCAGGGAAATTTTCCGGGAAAATGTTTATCGGAGTCACCGAGCGGGTGGGATAGTTAGTTAATAGTTATCTCTTCGGCCCAGATTGTATAAAATTACCAGAATCTGTTCCCTCTTTTAGTTTTAGGCTTTTAGCAGATCTCGTCCAAAGGAAAGACGCCGTTTTCCCAAAACTTGGAAAACGCGGGGAAGATTCGTCACGCACACATTAAAATATTTATTTTATAAGTATATAGTATTGGTTTCTTAATATAAGAGTCAAATAACTAATCTGAAAAACTAAACAAATTAAATAAGTTAATTATTTATAATAAATGTAAGTTAACTTTCTTAAATTACTTTTATTTAATCATGTATATTGAAATTATACTTGGGTAAAAATATCTTAAAATCAGTAGAGATATTTTTAAAAACACATTATAAATTTGAAAAACAAAATAGATTGAGATATTATATTTAGAACTATGAATTAGCTCTTATGTTTAGGACGAGTTAGTATATATTATGATTCATTTCATGTTTTAGACGGTCAATTATTATATTCCTCCGGTTCTAAATATAAAACCCATTTTAGTATGCAAATTATATTACAAAATAGATTTTATATTTTGAGTACAAGGAATATATATTTTGCTTGGTACTAATGGCCCCCTTCGTCTAGAAATCCTGATTGACTCCAGCCCTAGACGCACCTATAAGGACATTGCCTCTATGCGCATAACTATGATAACTTATTTGGTTGATTTTTCTTTTTTTTTTGGGCCAACTTTGGTTGATAAATTATAGCTATCTTGTAATTATGTATCATTTATGGTCATACATATAGACAATTAGATACTATGCCCTCTCTATCCGGACTAAGTCATGCAAAAAAGAGGATATAAGTATATTACTCAAATTCACAATTTTTTAATAGAGTTGTCAATAAGGGCTAGCCCGGTCCTAAAAGGCTAGCCCTTGAAGGGCCAGGGTCGAAAAAAACCGGCCCTTTAAAGCCCACATACCTTAAAATTATCTAATTATTAAAGTCCGGCCCTTGAAAATACAGATTCAAGGTTTAAAAAGGCTGGCCCTTTTATGTTATTTTTTAAGATTTAAATTCTTTTTAATTATTTTAAAATAAAAAATAAAACAAGAAAACTTCTAAGAGTTTTTATTCAAATTATAAATATAAGTAAAATAAATTAGTGGTGTATAGAAAAAAAATTAAATGCCAATAAACTATTGTCCAAAATAAAATATATATATATATATATATAACAAAACACGAAAAACAGAAAGATAAAAATCTAGCAGTTAAAAATTAACAATATCAACATCATTATTATCTTTATTTTCATTTTCATCAGTATCATCAAGATCAGCAACATTTGATTGTTCTTTACTACAAGTGAGCTCTTCTTCAGTGATAAAAATATTAAGATTTTTGTCTTCATTTACCTTATCTAAAATAAAATTATACAGTAGTTATAAGTACAAATAAGAGCCTGAATATTTGTTCGAATAAGAAAAGTTTTACACTTTGTTAAGATATGTAAATCAATGGCAAATGAAGATCTACTAGCTATTATGGTGATTAAAATGTTTAAAATATAAGCTACCATTCTTGAAAGAATTGAAAATTGATTTTAATTGTTTTTCCACAAGTCCAAGACATCTAATTCTTTTCAATTATCTAGGTTGAATATTGATTATTCTAAGTATTTTTCTAATTTAAATTTATTCATAAAAGACTAATCTATAACTTTATAAATATATTGATAATAATAATAAAAAATAGATGGGTTTAAAAGGGCTAGCCCTTGGCCCTTTTATTTTTGAGCCGTATAGAACTAACCTTTTTAAACCTAATTTTCTTTTAAATCACCTAAAATATAAGCCTGGTCCTCCACTTAAAAGGGTTTAAAAGGACTAGCCCGATGGGCTTGGCTCATTTTGATGGCTCTACTTTTTAATAAGTGTATAGTAGACCTCTTCAAAGTACATAATCTTCTCATTCTTTTAATAGATAGTAGAAATTAATCCAATCCAACATATATTAATTACTCTCCAGAATCCTTTTTGTCGTATTTACAATAAAACCTTTTATATAGTCCATACTTAGTTCATACTAGTTTTAGTTCCAATCAAAACATTGTTTTATCTTAAAAGTTGTAAAATGAGAAAATCCCACAAAATAAAGCTTAAAATTATTAAATTTCAAATCAGATATGGTAACAACATTTCGAAAGGTTTTTGACAATATTAAATTTATAAATAACAATTGTAAAAATTCCTTATTTAAAATTTAGAGACTTCAAACTTCTTTTATATATATTTTTCCTTATAAAACCACTTTTGTATGAAAAAATAGACGTGCATTTATATGGCTGCTCTGAAATATAGAAAAGTGGCATTCCCAAAATTACAATTTCAAGAGATTCATCGTCAATCCCCCGCAGTCAATGGCACAACTCCAAATTAAAGGTCTTCTCTTGGAGCCTAACACTAGCTAACTATATATGACTAGTACTCTTCTAGTCTTGGTTATATTTACAAGGCACGCATATAGAAAAATACTCCCTCCGTTTCTTATTATAAGAGACAAATAACCGAAGTACGTTGATCAAAAAAATAGTTAAAGTTAGTTAAGAACAATTAATGTATAAAAAGTATAATTTTTTTCCAAAAATGCCCTCATTAATAAGGAGAGAGAACAATTAAATTATTAAAAGAAAGAGAAGTGGGAGGGAGAGAGAGTGTGAGTTGGAGATAATAAATATGGGTAAAATAGTAAATCAACACAAAAAAGTAGAGACAACTTGTAAGTGTCTCTTATATATAGGAACATGGCATAAGCATCAAGTGTCTCTTATAATAAGGAACGGAGGGAGTATTTTATATGAATATATGATTTTATTCTTCATTTATTATTGTGTTAACTTTGTTCTCATGCGATATAACGTGCCACCTCCTGTCCTTAATATAAGAATTGACTAACCAATTTGAGTAGATCAAAAAAGTTTGTCAAGTTAGTTAGTTATGTTTAATAAATAAGTATTGTCTCTCATAGAATATCCTTATTAGTTATATAAATTAGCTAGAATTACCATTGAATAGAATATTTAATATGTGCAACTACTATAAGAACTACTTTAAAAAATAGTTAAATATGATAGACAAAGTGGAAAGATCTTATATCTAGAATCAAATTAAAAATTATATTAAGAACAAAAAGTAATATATTAAACAAAAAAAATTTTAAAAATTATTGGATTTTAAATAAAAGTTAATAAAATTTAAAAAAAAATTGATTTGTATGAAATTTGTTGAAAATGACTGATACGGAACAAGATGAATAAAAGGGTATAAGATGTTATCGCAGCTTCTTTTTCCAGCCAAACTTTGAAAGACTGGCGCCTATAATTAAAATGGACTGAGTTAGGCCCTAAATAATAATCACTGTATGAGAAAGTCATTGAAAAATTTCTCACATTAATGAGAATGCCAATATATCATATTTTTGCCATTCGAACACTAATTCATGAGAGAGCTATATCTAATGGCAGGACGATCCGCTTCTTTTCCGCGATAGGATGCTAAAATAAAGATGATATTTGAAAAACATGGCTACTACAAAGTCCACTAATCAATCACGTCAATTAGTTTTAGGAGGTGATTAGATAAAAACAAAATTATAATTTCAGAAGTATTTTTATAATATACAAAGTAAATATATATGAAGAAATTTGTTTCAATTTAAAAAAAATACTTCTGAAAAATTATTTTAGAGTTACCCAAAGATTTAGAAAATCACAATCACTCACTTATTATAAAGAGCTTTTAGCTATCATTTTTTGAAACATCATCTTAATGATTCTCACTCTGCATATATTTCTCTAAATCTTGAACGGTCACTTCATCATGGATGCCCTTCAGTTCAGTGTATCCGTTCAGAACTGCGTTCACAGGTCACAGCGTCTTTTCCTTTCCAAGACAGTAATTTAAATTCGTTCACAGTTTAGTGCTGCACCCACCAGATGCCTAAATCTCTCCTCTTTGGTTTTTGAGTCATATATAAAATTTTGTCTTATTACTACTACAAGTATTATTATTATTATTACCATTATGTCCATGGTTAAGAATGTGAACCGTTTCTTACTTTGAGCTGAGTTACCGATATCCTGTAGAAACTACAGTTTCTTCTGACTTTGAGCAACATTCATCAAAGATCAAGCCGTTTCCCAATATTGAAGCGAGAAACAATCTGGGTTTCTTCTAAATCAGCAGTCGAAGCTTCGATTCTCAATATGCTCTTTTTGAACTGATTGCATTAGGTTCTCCTGCCAGTAATGCCTTAGCCTTGCTCTGTTATTCTTTTATTATGGGGGGTGAGAATTGCCTTTGAACGTCGTTATGGGGTCGATGAAATGTCGGGCTATCATAGTTTCGGGGAGCAGAGTTTTTATGAGAATATCTGTTTGCATCTCTTTGTGGCTGACTGAGTTATGCTCTTGCTCAACTGTCCTTCGTTTTGGTTTTTTTTTTTTTTTTCGTAGTCTTTGCATGTATTTGTTTAACCTTCTGTAGACGAAATGACGTTTTTATGTCTGTTGTTTTGATTTCGGTTGTAAATGTTGGTTAGTTTTCTTTCTTTTTTGTTTTTTTAAATGATGTCTCTTATTTTGTTCTTCAAGGTGATGAATGATGAGCTTATCTTTTGTTTTTTTTTTGTTTTCTTCATGTTCTTAGAATTTCCTTTCCAAAGAAAGGTGGGGTTGCTCTGCTTAAAGTAGAATGGGACCTAGTAAAGGTACGATCAAGCGGGAATACACTCATCTTATAGAAAACTGGGAAGTTCCTCAATATGATAGTAGATTGATGAGGCGATTGAAGAGAAGGTCCACTGCTAGTGAGATGATGGAACACAATTGCAGAGCCAACGCTAAAAGGAAAAATGTGGGCACTTGGGGCGATGAAGTTGTGAAAAATGGTGAGAATAGTGGTCATGTTTTGGAGGAAGAAGTGGATGAGGATTATGAATTCTTTTTAGATAAAGCTGTCTTTCATGTTTCTGATGCTGATGTTAACACAAGCCATGACAGTTATAATGATGACGACACGGATGCTCAGTATAAAATGTTCTTGGAAAATTTAAGGGAAACTGATAACTCATACATATTAAAAGTCTTTGCTGGTAACCAGTTATTTTGTGCAAAGTATGAAGGACAAGAAGAGAGATTGCATGATTCGGTCAATAGTAAAATTCATTGTGAGGGTGATGATGAAGATTATCAGTTATTCCTGAATTCATCAAGGATAGAAGGTGACAATTTGATTTATATTCCAGAAAGTGCTATAACAATAAGCTATGGGGCAGGTGAATCAGAAGAAAAGAACTCAGAGGTTAGGCAGAACTTTCAAGTTCCCTTTGAGGTAACTGAACTCCCTAATTCAAGACAAGTTTCAGATGATTATCATGTGGCCAAGAAAAATACCCACAGTGAAGTGCGGAGTGATGCTGTGGATGAAGACTGGCAAACATATCTGAATTCTGAGATTAGGAAGAACTCAAAAGAAAAATGTTCAGCAGTTAGGAAAAATTTACAAGTTTCCGATGCGGCAACTGAACCCCCTAATATTAGACAAGGTTCAGATGTTTATCGTGTGGCCAAGGACAAGCGGAACAATGAAGTGTTGAGAGACGTGGATGAAGATTGGCAAGAATTTCTGAAGTTTGAGGTTAGGCAGAATTTACAAGTTTCCAGTGAGGCAGCTGAACCCCCTAATGCTGGACAAGCTTCAGATGATTATCAAATGGCCAAAAACAAGTGCCACAGTGAAGTGTTGAGTGATGTTATGGATGAAGACTGGCAAATATATCTGAATTCTGAGGTTAAGAAGAATTCAGAAGAACAAGGTTCAGCAGTTTGGCAGAATTCACAAGTTTCCAATGAGGCAACTGAACTTCCTAATGCAAGACAAGGTTTGTTTGCTTCTCATGTGGCCAAGCACAGGTGCAACAGCAAGGAGTTGGGCAATATTGTGGATGAAAATTACCAACTATTCCTGAAATCTATTTGTGCAAATGGTGACAATTTGATTTACATGCCTGAAAATGGTGTGAGAGTGGTATATGAGGACGAATGTGATCAAAGCTCCACTGATTCTGAACCAATTATTCTGGATCCTAGTCAATATTACTTGGACAGCCCATCCATTTGTCAAAAAAGTTGTCATTCATCGGTAAGTGTCTTTTTCTTGGGCAGTGATAGCTGTAATATTCATAATATGTAATTTGGATTGCCGCATTCACCTAATTAGAATGTCTAACAAACAATTTTTTTGATTATTTCTTTTATATGCCTTGGTGTGTTTAGTACCTTGCAGATGAAAGGAATCATAAAGACAGCTTGTTTAGAAAAGGACTCATGGAAGAACTTGAAAGGCCTTATAACGAGAGGGAGCTTGATAAACTTCTGCAAGTAGCATCTCACGAAAGGTCGAAGGTACAACATAGAGAAATGCGCCATGGGGTGACAAAAGATCGTCCAAAGGAAGGTGCTAACAATAAAACCTCATATCTTAAAATGCACCGTGGTAAGGTTCTTTTTTTCCCCATTCTAAACAATGATTGCATTCAATATAATTCATGTAATACTGATGACTTACATTGGATACAAAAGATAAAATAGTAGGGAGTAATTTTTTCTCTCTTTCTTTGTGTCAATGATTATTCAAGGACCATGCCTTCTTCAGTGATAGAGGGACTTGATTTCTGCATTATGTGATTATTGCTACATTTTTGTGAAATAGTGTCACTGCTTTTTTAATGGTCAGTGTGATGGGCTATAGTAGCAGACTTACCTGGTGCAAAAGTTGATTTCACTAGCTACTTTTTGCAATGTCTTCCGTTATGTGTCCCTTGTTTTCATGTTCTTCTACTATGTGTAATTCTATCATCATATTTGCACAATGGTGAAGGTTTCTTAATTGTCCTGTAGTAAAATAACTTTTTCATAATTTTTCAGGTTTACAAGATGCAATTAATCAAGTCAGGGAACCACATAAGGCTCTGTTTCTCCTGCGGGGATTTTTTTATTGGTTGAAGGTAAATTAATAATTTCACGTGCCCTGGATCTGTCTATGTGTACATTAATGATAGATATTAGTTGCTCACAGTCTGTGTAAATTGCAGCATGTGCCCCAAGGAGGAGCATTTCAGCCGTGGCTTGATGCATCCTGTTTGAAGATGTTACAAAATTTGTGAACATAAGATCTTGATGTGTAAATCTAGGTTCTGATTTTCTGATAACCTGCTGTCTTGCTGCTGTATCTAGAGGAAATCCCGTTCATATGCAATAACTAAAAGAAATGAGTATCTGTTGTTATGATATTTGAACTTGACCGAGTTGCGGTGAGAAAATGTTGATGTTGTAGCCCCTAGCAGCTGTTGGTTTTTACTTGATGATGATTATGTAATCAGTGGCTAGCATTTTTGTACGTGGCTTCCTCATGCCTTTAATTCTGAAGGAAAAAAACAAGGTTCCAGTTTCTAGCTTCATTGGAACTACATCTAATTATGCCCAGAATATCTATTTTTGTGCAGAAGAAAAGTTGTGCATGGCGCATATACACACTATACGCCTGACGGCCAAGAACGCTATACGCATTCTATTCAAAAATCTTATTCCATGAATAACTTCATCTGATGAGGGAAAAGTTATGGCAAAGCTAATATGAACTCATGTAAATTTCTCCACCTTCAATGGCCTCCTTATCGTCATCCTCATATTGATCGTGTGTGTGTGTGTGTGTGTGTGTGTGTGTGTATTCATTATGGACAAAAATGTTCACGAGGTTCTTTCTTGCCTCTCGGTTCTCCTTTCTGTACACATATCACCACGTTCAACCTGTCATAGCCGCCAGTGGAGTCACCTCGTGTTCGCTCTACGTCAAAAATGGCTGCCTCAGAACCAGTTTCTTGAATCACAGCCCTGTCTCTACCTGTGAAAGTTGTTTCTGTTTTTCCTCTTCGTTACAGTTACAGCTTCCCAGAAGAGTGAAGAGTCTGCATATGTGGATCCGGGACATTCAAAAACTCTGTTGAGTTGTACTCCTCTGCATCTAAGGGTTCTTCAGAGTACGTCCCTTGAATTTTGGACTTCTGTTGCAATTTCTTTAGCTCCAAGCTATCTCCTCCTCCTCTTAGAATCGTTAATACCTGCATCATCCAACATCGTGAAACATTTCATGCTCTGTATCAATTCATCACACATGTATTGAAGTTCCAGGGCATCAGATTCTTAAATGGATCGGCAGACTAGCGTGCTGGTATGCCTTATTCATATTGCCTGAACCATTTTTTTGGTTGTATGGATGACTGCGTTCTGTTAATGTAGCCAAGTAAGCAGTTTTGGTTTTGCTTCAATGTGACATCACTTTTGCTGGAACTTTATCTATGGTTAAGGTTGATGGATGAAAAATATCTTGTTTTAGCAACAAGTAATGTCTCATTGAACTCAATGATCAATACAAAACAGCAGGGTAAGTTTATATGTACCTGGCTCATGTTTGGTCGTTCAGCTGAGGATTGATCAACACACAATGAAGCTACTAAGACTACAAGTTTCATTTGTTCTTCATCATAAGCGCCATTCAGATATGGATCGACAAGCTCTTTAATGTTATTTGAAGAAAGCAAAGGTTTTGCCTGGAAAATAAGTGGTCAAAGCAGACTGGAATGAAATTGACATTTTAAATATCAACAAGCCCAGTAGAATATTATCCTTAGTGTTTTTTTTTTTGGGCCGGGGGGGGGGGGAAGCGGGCATACCCACATCACTAAGCTTTTCTGTGAGCTATCCAAAGCTTGTCGTCCAGTAATGAGCTCCAATAATAAAACCCCATAAGCGTAGACATCGGTCTTTTCGTCTACTAAACCATGCATGAAGAATTCTGGAGGAAGGTAGCTGTTGTAAAAGGCAAAGTGATTGGAAAACAAAAGGGTCAAAGAATGACTGGGGGGAAAAGGATTATAAATAAACACTTAGAAATTTTGTGGATCTCTTAGATATACAAACCCGAAGGTGCCTTCAATTTTGGATATTGTATGGTGAGTCCATTGGTCCGGTAACCATTTTGAAAGCCCAAAATCAGATATCTGGTATGACGATGAAGTTAAAACATTGTCCAAACTCCAAAGAAAGCCAGAAGAAACATCTAAATACAAAAGTATAATTTATCATTGCTGTACTGGGCTTAACCATAGCTTCAAAGTCCTCTGAGAGCAAAATATTAGAAGCCTTGATATCTCTGTGAATTATCCTTCTTTGGCATTCCTCATGCAGATAGCGAAGGCCATCAGCAGTCCCAAAAGCAATCTTATACCTTAAGCTCCAACCAAGTTTCTCTCGAGGTCCTGAAATCACACGAGGAAATGAATTCTGCAGAAATTTACCGTGGTTTTTTATATTCAGAATTTTCAAAAAGTTTAACAAACCATAAAGTATGGATGCTAGGCTGCCGTGTGGAGACAACTGAAGAACAAGAAACATTCCCCCTTCAACACCATATCCAATCAATCTCGCAATATTGGGATGCTTCACGTGCACTATAATTCCAAGCTCAGACAAGAAATCTGCAGTCATTTCTTCTAGAGTTCCTCTGGTGAGCTGTTTGATTGCAACAAACTGCCCATCTTCCATTTTGCCTTTGTAAACCACAGCATAACCTCCTTGACCAATCACATTCTCTGAAAAAGGAAAGAAACAGAAGTAGCTTATCATTGTCAAGTTTTTCTTTTGATCAACCGGTGTCAGCTAAAAGTAAAGCAATATTGTTAGGAGAAAGAGCACATACCATGGCTGAAATTGTTAGTTGCAATCACAATCTCTGCATGCGAGAAATTTTTCCAGGAAGCTTTGAAGCAGAACAATTCAGTGTCCAAGATTGTCTTGAGAGCTGGATTATTCAGTGGCGAATTTAGAGGCGGGACCTGGTTCTCCCTGTATCTCTTGCTATTTCTTCTGGTGAGTTTTGGAACGTTTTTAAGTGGAAGAATGGGTTGGAAACGCATTTTGGGTCCTTTCTTTAACAAACGAAAGAAACCATGCCACTGGGCATTGTTTGACTGGCTCTCTGAATCAGAGGTCTTGGAAGAAGGGGATTTGGGTTCTAGACTGCTGGAACATTCCTCAATGTCACCCCTAGAAGAACACTCAGGTATTCGTTGCTCCAAAGAATCTAATATGGTATGCATTCTAACATTAGTACAATAAACAATGATCTTAATTTAGTATCATTCACAATGAATGATCAGAGCAACGAAGAGGGATAACTTACCATCACTTGAAATGGAATCAGAAGACCCATTCCTTGGTCTGCATGCCCTTTTTGGAGGAATCCGCCTTTCTTTTTCTTCCTCGTTCACATTTTCCACGCTGTGGAAACCATTGCTGCCAATGTAATCTTATTTTTCAGCAAAGAACAAAGAATTTGACAGGACCGATAGGACGAAAATGTACGAACACATTGCAAATGACCAAAACCTCAAGGCATCAAATGCCGTTAATAATAATGAGACAGAGACAAAATTGTCCCAGATACATGTTCTTAGAAGGAAACAGAGAGGACAAACTAAATGTTGTATTCAATGAAGCATTTGAAGAATGAGAATTTGATAAAAACAGGCATTGGGTACAGACAATGCAGAGAACTGAAAGGAAATTGAAGGAAGCTTACGTAGGGGGAAATTGGGGTTCACGTTCATAGTTCATGGCCTAGATAGAGGGGGCCAAATCCAGAAGAGAATTTGAAAATGAAAAGGGGTTTGAGCCACAGCAAGAACGCGCGAGCGCAGAATAACTAAAGAAAACAAGAAAGAGACAGAAGAGAGATACGCCAAGAAATCAGTGGCTGGCATGAATTTTCTGAGGCGCCGCAATAGTATGAATCTTTTAATAGTGTGTCATCAAATCCACCGAATTTTGGCGCGGAAAAAACGGGTTTTTATTAGTCATCTTTGTCTTCTACTTAGACGCTAAATCTTAAAACATAGATAAAGAGAGGAAGAAGAGGGAAATTAGAGAGAGGTAGCTCATTCACAAAGAAGCATCAAGCATGCCCACATAGCTAGCAATCGAAATGTTAGTTATGACAGGCTTTTTACGAAAATTAGGATCATTGCTTTAAAAAGAGAGTTCTGGGTTATTACTTACAGTGCTTTTGTGCCAAGTTGGTAGTCACTCCTTCAAAAGCCAAAACCCTTGCATTCTCATTTCTGGTTGCTTCCAAAGGCGATGGGTCTTGGAAGTTGGACCTCGTTCCCGCGCAACAATATATTCAATTATTCACAGAAATGCTTTTATTTCACATTGTATAAAAACTAGATAATTAATTTATTTATATTAAAAAATGAGTTAATGTAGATTAAGTATTTTAAAATATTTTTTATTATGTGATGCAACTTCGCTTTATGTATTAAAAATAGATCAGTTTCAATTTAACATCTCACTTGTGAAGGAAATAGTAAACCACAACTTACGCATTACGGCTTCACTTGTAGTTAAAATCCCGTCCCGTCTCATTTTGTGAGTACCCCTTATGTGAACACCAAGTTTGAACTCGAGATCTTACTTAAACATGAAGGGTGGCATTCTTATTAAGACGGCTTATAATTAATTTAAATTATTAAATATAAGATATTTTATAAATATAAAAATCCATCAATAGATCAATAGAGCTATATCTCTCCATCCCTCTTTTCGAAATAAGAAAAACAGCTGTATCTCTCCATCCCTCTTTTCAAAATAAGAAAAACATTTGATCAAGTGGTATCGAGAAAATATTTGCTTTAATCAATGATCGTTCAAGTGATTTGTTATTCAAATATCTTTGAATTCAAGTATTATTAATAAAAGCTAATTGTATTAAATGCATATAGTCATATATATACGCACTGCGTCTTATTCTTAGAATAAAAGTTAAATAACTAGTTTGTGAATATTAATAAAATTATCTGTAATAAATGTATTTTTGTTTTGAGTTAATATAATTTTTGGTCTTTCAAATTTTTCCTCATTTGATTTCGTCCCTTAAATTTCAAACCTTAAGTTTTGGTCCCTCAAAGAGTACTATGGTCCAAGTTTTTATTGGATTATAGAGATCAATATTTTAAATAAAAGAAAATTTAATGGACTAAAACTTATAGTTTGAAACTAGAGGAACCAAAACTAAAATGAGACCAAACTTAAAGGATCAAAATTTGTATTAACCCTTTTGTTTTCTTTTGAATACCATTTCTATTATGCTTATTATAACTACTCGTTGATGAGAACTCCATTGTTATGTGCAATTAATAAAGATATTTTTAAAAAATTTTTATAAATTTGAAAAAATAAATGAATTAAAATCTTATTAAAAAATAGATTAAGATTTTATATTTAAAACCGAAATCAAATATTTGTGTAGCTCGTATGTTTAGAGTTGGAATAGTATAATCAAACCATTTATTATAACCCCTTCAAACAAAGACTAGCAAACAGTCAAAATTTTATTTTAGTATGAAGTAGGGGTGTGTATGGACTAGACTGGACCGGGTTTGTTATTAACCCGAAGTCTGGTCTAGTAAAGACCTCGAGCTGAAAAAAACAGCCCGAAGTCTGGTCCAGTCCGGTGCCAACCCGAGGTCGGGTTGGACTGGACTTGGTCCTCTGGACTGCCTGGACCAGTCCAAGCAGTCCAGAGCTAATTTTAATTTTTTTTTAAATTTTTTTTCTTCAATAGGAGGCAAGATTGTAACTTACTATATAAAATTTTACACATATTTTAATTCAAAATTTATCAAATTTGATCATTCCTTTTCAATTTCCCAATGAAGTCATGTTTTATTAATTAATTCTCATCAATATAGATCTTAAATTGTAGAAAATATATATGCATGCTCATTACTTTGAAAGTTAATAGATAAATCTTAATTATTTGAATAGATAAAAAATTTATATAGAAAAATTAAATCAAATTAAAATTATATAAATAATAATTTAAAAAAATCGGGCTAGACTGGACTGGAGCAACTGGTCTGAGGGGTCAGTCCCTAGTCCAGTCCAGCCCGATGAGACCAGTCCGGTCCAGTCTGGTCCAGTCTTGTTTCAGGCCAATTTTTTTTGGACTGGACTGGACCGGGTTTGTTCGGGTTGGACCGGACCATACCGGACCACCGGGTTTTTGCACAGCCCTAGTATGAAGTATTGAGGGGCACTGGGGTGGTGACTAGGGAAGCTTATCCGATATAAGCATATTGCTTTTTTGTAGAAAGTTGGAAAGATTCTTGCCCAAATATAAAAGAATCTTGTCATTTAAAGATCAAAATCATTGAAGAACAATATTATATCATACTAATTATATGGCCAGCTTCATTCCACTACCTCCTAAAAACTGAGATTTACATTTCCACTACCTCCTAAAGAGTGAGATTTACATTTGATTTTACAGAATATTAAAATGATTAATTAATTAATAAAAGATGCTAGCGAAACATGATGACAATGTATATAATGTGGGGATATGGTCTTTATATAATTATTATATTAGGTGAGAAATAATTTATTCAACATTCTAAGTTGATGCTTCAATCCTATGCCCTTTACGTTTACTTCTTTTATTTTATATAACAATTTTGCTACTTAATATAAAAATTAGTTGATTAATTTGAGTAGACTAAAAAAATTTATTAAATTAGTTATTTATAATAAATAAGTGTTGTCTTTTCTAAAATACTCTTGCTAACCATGTCAACATATGTATTAGCTAAAATTATCATTTGATAAAACCTTTAACACGTGCAACTAATACAATAATTATCTCAAAAACAAAATGAATAGATATAAAAAACAAAATGAATTTAGGTCTTATATTTAAGACTAAATTGAAAGTCAAGCTAACTCTTATACTACCTCTGGTCCTAATTATAAGAGCTAATTGACTAATTTGATGAGATTAAGAAAATAAGTTAAGTTGGTTATTTGTAATAAATAGATATTACCTTTCCTACAATATCCTTGCTAATCAAGTGTATTGGCTACAATTATCATTATGAGAAGGATTATCTTGGAAAAAATGTACAAATATGAGAGACAAAGTGGATTTGAGTCTTATATTTAGGACCAAAATAAAAATCAAGTAAAATTTTATATTAAGGATTAGAGGTAGTATTAAGTATAGGACATAATACGAAAAAGAATAGTACCGTTATTTCGTTTACATTTTACAATGCATATATTTATGTTTCATATGGTAATTACTAATGATATTTACACGTTACTTTTGGTTATAATTATAAGATTTTGTTTATGGATTATAAATAAAATCTTATAATTAGTACCAGATTAGTTCTCTGTATAAGTTTTTTTTTGTATGACAAGCTCTCTATATAAGGTTCGTAAATATTTTTCCTGCCATTTTTATTGACTTAAAATTTAGCTATTTATATTCGTTACGGATTTCGCTTTCATATATGCAATTGATTTATTCAATTTTTCCCCTCATTCTCATTTACGAATCTTGTCTTTTAATTTCATTTCATTTCATTGTTATCTTAATTTTGAGCATCATCTGAGTATTTAACGTTTAGTTTTAGAATAAACATAAAAGTAAAAAAATTTGATTAAATCAAAATTTAATGAAATAAACGTACTAAAACCGATGATATAAAAACAAAAGGAGGGGAAAAAATCTGATATTACTGGCCGACCCAATTGCCAGTGGACCCCACACAATATAATTTCGATACGGGCCCGACGAAATAGAGTAGCTAGTAATAAATTGACACCTTAACCTCTACATGACGCCGTTATCTCATCTCGGCCTTTGCTTGTTGCTACCCGACGAGACTCTGTGCAGACAAAAGTTCCCCTATACTGCATTTTCAAATTTATTATTATGAGAAGTAAGAATATTTATTATGCCTAATTTATAAATAGTGCAATTTTTTTACTTTTGAATATTTTCATATATTATTGGGCTTCATTCTGGCCAAAAATTGGGCTTCATGTTATTTTTGTAATTCAATCTTTTTAACTGAAATATATTTTAAAAATAATTACACTCTTACATAAATAACTAAATTATTTTTTATCACATTATAAAGCTCTCATTAAATTTTATGGTTAAACTTTTCGTTCATATATATTTTCAACTTGAAAAATGGCCTCACAAAACAGACCCTCACGTTTCCGTTAGAACAAACGCGACGCTGACGGGCCCCACACCCCGGCCTCCAAAACTGAATCAACCAAAGACTTGGTCAGGTCAGCCTTGAGCCACCTGTCCCTTTATTATTTACAGGACACGACGTGGCTTTCTCTCTCGTCATTTTCTTGCAAAGCCCTCATTCTCTTCACGCGTCAGTCAACGAAGTACGTCAAACGCGCCTACCCCTTCAATAATTCAAACCCTTTTCCGTCATGCTTCCTCCCTGTCTCTGGCGCTATATATCTCTGTCCTCATACGACCCCTTCCGCAACAAACACAGGTTCACGTCCACCGGCCGAACGGTGGGAGAGATCTAATTCTATCAAATTCAACCTCCTCCTTCCTTCCATTTCCAGAAGGAAGAAGACGAGGTAGAAGAAGAAAGAAAAGAGAAGGGGGCAAAAAAAACAAAGAAAGAAAGCAGAAGAGCGACTTTTCATGAGAGTTTCATCTCTCTCTGTTCATACTTCATACTGAGTCTAAGTTCTTGCCTTAATTTCAATCTCTTCCTCTCTGTTCTGCTTGTTCTCTCTCTCTCCCTCCCTCTCCCTCCCTCTCTCAAGAGTTTTGTTTAATTTTTGAGAACTACGGTTCTTAACCATGGGAACGGAAGTTTTGCGGCCTCAGGATTGTTTGATTGAAAGAATCAGACAGCCTCCGGTTTCGATTTATCGACAGAGTTATGGAAATCACTATAATCAGGTTAAGAATTATGTACCCAACCCAAGATCCAGTCGAAAACCGGCCAAACGACCTGAGAGGCCAGATAAAAGGAGACGAGTTGTTGTTCCGAGCCAACCGATTCCGGTGACGTCGGTCTCGAAGAGGTCCAGCTCTGATGACTCGAGGATGGGGAGGAGCAGCGGGATAACGAGGGAGAAGGTCACAATTCTTCGAAGAGGCGAGTCGTTAGATTCGAAAATCATGAGCGACGCGTTGACGAAAAAGGTAGGTGACGATCTCATGACTTGCTCGGGTCAATCCATTTACGCGGGATCGGCGTTCGTGGTGTCTCCATCACCAAGCGCGCTTCCTCTGCCTTCTTTTTCAAAGAAGCAGCCGTCCGCAGTCGTCGACGACTTTGCAACGCGAGATCTCCGGCGTCTGCTCAGACTCGAATGACTTGCTGGCGTGTTGAAATTTGAAATCAGGGTTTGGATTGGGTCGAGCTGGAAGGGATCTGTTTCACACTTCCTTCATCCATTAGCTTTCACCTTAGAATCTTCTTCTTGAATCTATCTTCTCCTCGCATCAAGGTTATCGGCATCGCGTCGCTCCCGACGGGAAGTTTGACCTGACCGTGATTTTTTAAAACGGAAGGGTAGAACTAAAATCGGGGTAAAATGTTGGGGCAAATATGTGAAAACAATAGTTTGTCGTTAGGCTCATAGTTGGATTCGCATGAGATGCGGGGTCTTAATTGTAATTAGCTCGTAATCTAAGTTGAGAGTGGTGAAGAGAAAGAAAGTGAGGAAATGGGAGGTTGATTTGTAAAATCCGGGAAGATATTGGGCTGGATTAGGTGGGCCGTGAATAATTTCTTAGCTTTATGACTTTAAGATGGGCCAAGTGCCTTTTATCCTTGATGTTGTAGACTAAAATATTTAAATCAGAAATCTGGGCTTGCTGTAAAAATTTTAACCCACAATATATTTTTCGTCGTCTTTTCGAAGGTAACTTTTAAATTAGGGAAAATCGCTAAAAAAGAGTTTGGAAACAGAAAAATTGCATATAGAGACCTATTATGACATTAGTATGGATTATTAGTATGAATTCTGATAATAATTGATGAGCAAATGGGAATAATTTTTTGAACATGTCTAAGTTTTCAATTTTCAACATTTTTTTTGGGGGTGAGTTTCCCTTTAAATTATTATTAGTATTCAAATATATGATTGAATTATTTCAGTGCAGTGAATCATTCGGGGAGCAAGTCGATCTTCTCAGTTCATGCTTAAGGCAATCATGTGTTTTTCAGGTGATAATGAATAATAATTTATATCAGACAAGAACCAAATGTAGAAAGAAGGTTGTGGATGAATGGATGTTGGATTTGGGTTGTTTATAGAATTAATGTTGAAATGTTTTTTAGAATAAATTTCCACATTTAAAAGACTGAAAATATTTCTAACAGAATTACTGTTGAATGAGATGACACTGATTAAAAAGAAAAAGAAAAAAAAAAAAAGAAGGTTGTAGATGGGTGAGATCAATAATCATGAGTTAAAAGGTTAGGTGAGTTGAGTTCTAGGAGCTCACCATATTTTTAGACTCAGAGAATACTTACAAAGATACTCAAACATCACCTACTAATAAGATTTTTATATCGATAACGCAATTTAAACCCATGACTTTATGGACTATGAGTCAACTTCTCATCAATTACACTAATTCATGTTGATAATAAAACATGAGTTAAAAATACAGGTTGTTACTTGTTACATTTAGAGTTGAAAGCTGTATTGGGTCCAAGGCTAAGGTTGGAGTAGAAGATTAGGAGGCCCTTATCATTGTTGTTCACCAATCTCCCTATAGAGTATAAAGCCATTCTCTTTGGGGGGAAAAAAATTCAGTCTTAGCCTACCAGTCATGAGCTAGTCTTAGTTGCTTCTCATTCCAAAAGAAAAAAAAAGAGAAGGAACTGGAGACCCGAACATTGCCTTTTTTGGGAGTGAGAAGTCTACACACTAATCATTAGGGGTGCACATGGGCAGGGTTGGGCAGGGCAAGACCCCTGCCCAATGCCCAGCCCAAAGTATGAGCGGGCTGCATTTTGCAGCCCGATGCCCGGCCCTGCCCATAAAAGCCCTAACTATTTTGGCCTGGGCATGGGCGAGCTGGGCAGGGCGGGCTTCGCTGCCCAAATGGTGATGACTTGCCAATATCACATGTAAAAAAACTTTCGTCCGTAACTGAAAATTACATTTCATAATTTTATATTTTCACACATTGAAATTATCTAGAAATAATTCAAAACAAGTCTTAGCAATATTCCAAATAAATAGTATTCATAATCCATTTAGAACAAAACAACTCTCAAGATTGTAATTAAATCTTTGAAATTCAAACAGTTCGCATCAATCTCTAGAAAGTTGAGAAAAGAATAAAACATCTGAAAAAATTGAAGAGGGGTTGAAGCACATTGAGATATTCCATTGAAGGTCGGGGATGGCGATATAATAGAAGCTTGATTATCCATTCAAGTGGCAAAAATTAAATGTTACCTAAAAGATTGCAAAATGATATTAAATTTGAAGCCATGGGCTAACAGTAATAATATAGACCATATAAAAATAGGGTGAAAATAATTGTAAAAAAGAAAAATAAAAAATCTTATAATAATTTAATATAACCACTTTTAATATGCAAATACTTATTATGCGATACAATGTAGTTAGCAGTCCATACAACTAAAAGACTTCTTTCCATCATATGACTTGTTCATAAAAAATTAATACAAAATAACTAAATATAAATTAAATAAAACATAAAACATGTAATTCAGATAATTAAAACCCAATTTTCTTTTCCGGCTCTTACTCCAATCTTGTTTTCTATTTTATATAAATATTTCAAATTGTTAATTTATACAAATATATAATGTATGAACTCCATTTTTTAACAAAGAAAGTTGTTAATGGCATAGAGGGGAAGACTAACTTATAAATAGCCAACATTACAACAGCAACACACAATAGGATATACCCAATAAAGCTCACTAAGAACAAGTTAAAAGCAAAATACTATTGCTTCTTTAAAAGAATTAAATCCCCTAAAATGGAAAACTAATAGACATGTGACAATAATAAATTAAATTGCAAAGAGGAGGGAGATAACTTTTTTTTGGATAAAAAAAGTAATATATTAATATTATTTCATAAATTATAATATATATATATATATAACTTGGGCAGGGTCAAATGGGCAGGGCAGCATGTCCTGCCCAATGCCCAGCCCTGCCCATGAAATGCCCAGCCCAAAGATGCCCATTCTTTTTCGGGCTCTTTTTTTTCGGGCTGGGCTGGGCAATTTTTCTTCGGGCTTGGGCGGGCTTAGCGGGCTTCTGGGCTTCGTGCACACCCCTACTAATCATACAAAAGACTATTAATTCCTGTAAATGTAACGAGCCATCATAAGCCAACCAAATGTGCGTATGGACAATGGATATTAGCTTCACGTGATCAATACAATTGACAGTCCCACCAAAAGATTGCAAAACTACTACAAGAAGTGTAGTCACATGAATGGTTAAATATGGCCTTGAATTCTGATTTTGTGAATAAAATACTACTTCAGGTTTTTAATATAAGAATTAGTTAACTAATATGAATATATTAAGAAAATTAGTTAAGTTAGTTATTTATAATAAATATGTATTAGCTCTTCTGAAATACTATTGCTAATAATGTTTATTAGCTAAAACTATCATTTAATAAAACATTTAACATGTATAACTTCTACAAAAATTACGTTGAAAAAATTGCAAATTGGATAAATATGAGAGATAACGTAAATTGGAGTCTTATATTTACAAACAAATTGAAAGTCAAACTAGCTTTTATACCACCTCCAATCTTTAATATAAGAGCTAGTTGACTAATTTGAGTAGATTAAGAAAATTAGTTAACTTAGTTGTTTATAATAAATATGTGTTTTTTTTTTCAAAAATACCCTTACTAATCAAGTGTCATTTGATGAAATATTTAAGATGTGTAACTACTACAAAGACTATCTTAAAAAAAAAAATAAATATGAAAGATAAAGTGGATTAGAACTTTATATTTAAGACCAAATCAAAAGTCAAACAAGCTCTTATAAGACTCTGGTAATAAATTATATTTTACATTTGAGGTCTAACTTTAATTCCAATTTGTGACTTGAAAATGAGCCAAATCATATTAAGTTTTGACTAAATAATAAGCCTATCCTATTTATAGCCTAATTATAAACTTAGCATGTTTTTTTTATTATTAAATAGATAGGCTTAGTCAAATCCTATGTTTCTTATAGTCCTACTCATTTCAATATTTTAATAAAATTTATTTTAAATTATATTATATATATTTATTTGTTTCAGTTAGACTAGCTCTGGTCCTAATTATAAAATTTTGTTTATAGATCACAAATAAGATCTTATAATTAGAACCGAAAATAATATCTATTTATATAAAATAAAATAAAATGATACATAAATAAAGAAGCCCTTTTGCAAAAGTAAACCAGTTACGGCAAGCCCAAATTTAATAGAACAAGTCCAAACACAAACAATTAACCCAGTGAGTCTAAAAGAAAAGATTATTACTTCATAACGTGATGAATTAATATTTAAATTTTTATTAAGAGAGATTTTCATATTTAGTACTTGATATTATCTCAGGTGAGATTATCTTCAATAAAAATATACATAAGAGTAAAAAAAAAAAAATTCAAACATAAACATGGCAAACAGCGCATTGTATCAAAAAAAAGAAAACATGGCAAACAGCGCAGCAACATAATATGTACATGATACTGATAACGGACAATAGTTAATTAATAGCCCTCCGATCTTTAATATAAAACTCATTTAACTAATTTGATTAGATTAAGAAAGTTAAGTAAATTAGTTAATTATAAAAAAAGTGACATTTTTTTCTAAAACACCATAATAATCTTTTTTAATACCCATCTCCTTCTTCTACTTGATTATGGTTGAAGAAGTATTTATAAGGGTAATTTAGAAAAAATTGATAAATATGAGAAATAGATCTTATATTTAGCACCGAAACTAACTCACGAATTGGGTCCTATATTAAGGACCGGAGGAGTATATCATAAATTCAAATTCAAATTTTAAAGTGAATTAATAAAAATAATTTAAACAAGTAAGCTTAAGCCAACTAGATTTAGTCATTATTTTCAGGATCATCATCGACTAGATTGTTGATGTAATTAATGGGACATGGGGATTAAGGGAATAGAGCAAAACATTTTAGAAAAATCATTTTTAATCTCAAATTCTGGGGTATCCCTGATTTTTTTTCTTCCATTCATCACTATATTTTTGACCGAGTTTTTTTATTAAATTTAAATTTTAACTTGACCGACATTATAGTGGATTCCCTATTTTCTTAACAGGCCAATTTGATATCCTTTTTTGATTCCATTATTGTGGTGATGGCTTATGCTTCAAATTAATTCCTTCAAGAGATGATAAAACGTAATAAAATATAACACCAACAAGGCTTCTTTTTTTTTTTTTATGGGAAACACCAACAAGGCTATTTTAATTAAGTGCCTGTTTGACATCACTTATTTTTAGCTTATAAGTAGCTTATAAGCTCTATAAGCCCGATTGACACAATGGGTACGTTTGGATCAGCTTTTCTGCAATTGGGCTTTTGTATGAAAAGCTACAATAAGCTATAAGCTAAAATTAACAGTTTATAAGTCATATAGGGGGTGTTTGGCAAAACCAAACCTAGGTTTCAGAATCACTTTTTTGTAAAACGAGGTAACCTCCTCCACATATTTACTTCGTAATCCGTAAAAGCACTTCTGAAACCATGATTTGGTTTCTATCTAAACACCCCCATAACTTATGGCTTATAGCTTTTGAAATATGGAGAGAGAAAAAGTTAAGAAATTTATTACTTCCTTTAGTTCT